ATTAATGTCTTCAAAAATATGTTTATTATAAGAGCTCATTGGACGCCTGTTAGGATTTTTATCATATAGATTTTGACTATTACATGCGTCAAATGTATTATTCAATTCAAGTAAAAAGTCAGCTGTATCATTAGCAGATTTTGATTTTAACTGACCAGTATGTAGGTATTGCCGTTTTTATAGCTGAAGATACACTGTTGCTAAATATTTGTAAAGCTAATTTGCATGACATTTTTTGAAATGGATTAGGGTTTAAATGAATAGGTGATATCTTACACATACTACGAGCTTTTGAATTTTTAGTATCAATTTCATACGTTTGAACAATATCTTGAAATACAATTTTTTTTTTATTTATTTGAATATCACCATTCAATAAATGATTACGGACACTCTTAAATAAATGTGGTATATCGTATATTAATTGAAGATTCTGGTTATGTATTTTTGTTGTTGGGTTGGAGTCAGTTCCATCCAGAAGAGAAAATAATTTTTGATTTTGGGTTCCTTGGTCACATACAAGAGCTGTTGGTAGTAATCCAATGTCTACAATTTCTTTTATAATTGATTTAATTAAAATACACAAATCATTACCCTTGACACCATCATTGCTAGTTAAAAAATAGCATAACGGAAATTTCCAGTTACTGTATAACCCTCTCACCATAATTACCTAAGCATGTTTAGCGTATTTAGGAAATCGTCCTAAAACACCCATATCTTCAAACMCTTCAATCAAATCAAGCGATTTATTATACTCAATGTGTTTCATGATTGCCACTTCATCAAATAAAACTGAACATTTTTTATCACTTTGTTTCATTGAAGAAACTTTTAATTTAATTTKGTTTAAATACTCTTTGACAAAACCTGGTATGTAAATTATGGACTTTAACCAGCGCCGCACACTACTTTCAGAAGGTAAAATTATACCGTTTTTCMTCATATAAATGTATGCAGAAGGTGACTTGTAGTAAAGTGAAAGTGCAAGATTTTTTTCGCTCCTTGTCCAGGGCCTACGATTTTTGTGTAAAACTTGCATTGTCATAATAGCTTTTGAGTTGACCGATGGAAATAACGTTTTATTGAAAAATTGTTGAATATAGTTCTTATTGACTTTATTATTATTTTTTTATTTTTTAACGATCTAATAACGGCACGCTTTTTTTAATATTCTGCGAAGATTTTCAAGTTTTTTTTCAAGGATCTCATGTTTATTAACTTTTTTATGTAAGCTAACCGTGGCCACTTCTTGAGGACTCGGCATATTTATTAAAGATGATACGTAGTTTCTGGTTGTTGGTGTTATTGATAATGAAGGGCTATTTTCCGGAATAACTAAACAAGACGATCCAAATTGCCTACTTTCATATGTACGTACTGGTGTTAATATTTTTAAAGTATTTGGCGATTCTGAATTCAAGACATGGTTTTGGTCTATATTAGGTATAAAAAATAAAAAATATTTTCATATATTATCAATTTCCTCAATTATATTTGTATAATTTGTATGAAATTTAAACATTTATAGTAATAATGAATAAATATTTATGATTTTGAAGAATTTTCGTCAATATTTGAATTT